CAGTTGTCCAATACATCCTAATTTTCTATGGCTGTCTAAATGATTTCAACTAGTGATCAAACATGTGACCAGTCGAATCCCTGCAAACCAATACTTGAAAATTTTTGTGAATGGACATATTGTCTTCTCGTAGCAGATTACTTAATATTGATCTTGGCATCTCAGTGACAGTGCATACTGCCAAGATGTGAATTAATAAAAGTTCCATCTAAAAATGTCAATCTATTAATATTAGTTAGAATTTTAAATATGATTTCATGTCTGTAACACTAATAATAAATTATTCATCTGGCAAGTTCATTCATTCCTCATAATTTATAAGAAATTTCTTCTCTGTAAATAAATATGTCACATTCTATTCATTGGAATTTTCAAATGGTCTCCATCAAACAATAACTAAGACTAATAGTATATTCATGTTTATACGATTGATTATTATTTATTCAAGCGGATATCTGTTAGGTATATAGTTCTTTTCGTTAAGTGAATAACTTCTGAACAGAGTCTTTGTGTTATATTAAATAATGAGATTTGATGGGATTTGAATTAATTTAATCTCAATTGTTAAATGTCGTCACGATCCAATGCTAGTTAGGCAGATCATCGTATACCAGGGGCACTGGAAGGCAGTTTCGTCCCAGTTCGATACTCTTCAAAAATGTGTGCACTCATGACCCCAACAGGTTCCCAACCCGGAACCCTGAGGTTATAAGACTAAGCGCGTTGGCCATTCCAGCACTTGGGCTAGAATTTTAACTTTGTCAACTTACAATATAGCTTGGTCTTGTAACCTGAAGGTACCGTATCTGTTCTCAAATGCGGTCGTGGATGTGCACTGATGAAGAGGAATCTCAAAATAAAACGAGACACCTGTTCAGTGCTCTCTGCTGGTTTCCAATGTTCTCTAACTGATGTTGGTTCATGACAGAAAAATAACAGTTGAAATTATGTATTTTCAAAAGAATAGACACTGAACAAAGAGAACTCTTTTCGATAAATTCATCATCAGGTTCTACAATTATATACATTATAATGAATGAATGAATTAGTCTTATGAACGACATTAATGTTTAAATAACATCAAATCAATAATATTGATAAATTACAGCTGAACAGCATCAACATCAATTAAACTGAATGTCAGAAGAATTAGGAAAGGTAATGGTACAAATTCATGAGTTTATAGTCTCTACTGAGGGCCAGGGCAGTAGTAGGGGCTGGACTTGTTTCTTTTGGACACAGAGCGCGGGTTGTTTGAGGCGAATTGCAATAGCCTCTGCTGTTTGGAGTAAGCGGTGCTTCGACGATTTTGGTAGTTTGTTAGGCACCCGGTATATTATGAAATTCCTAATCTTCTGACATTCAGTTAATTGATGTTGATGCTGTTCAGCTTAATTTATCAATATTATTGATTGATGTTATTTAAACATTAATGTCGTTCATAAGACTAATTCATTCATTCATTATAATGTATATATAATTGTAGAACCTGATGATGAATTTATCGAAAAGAGTTCTCTTTGTTCAGTGTCTATTCTTTTGAAAATTTTAATGGGCATTTTTAATCAATTATATATTTATTTATATGTAATGCAGTAGAAACAGATCACTTGACTGTTCACATGTGCTTGCTGAAGGGAAAAAGGAACCATGTGCCTATAAAAGTCATTATTACCTAGAATATTCACTTAATGGTAAAGTCAGCAGGAATGAGACCACTCGCCATTATATATATATATATATATAATTGATTAATAATACCATTAGAAATAAAAATAAAGCACGTGCCTACTTGCGGGTAAAAGACCTATTCATAAAATTACACATTACAGCAATTTGTATATTTACAATTTACTTTGTCAATCACCTTTACACATCAAAAGTGTAATATCTGTCTACTGAATTCATTATGCAATTAATCTGTTAAGGTGAATAAAACTGAATTTTTGGAGACTTTTGACAACAAGCATCTGTTCAAGTGAACAAGACTGATGAGCATGGAACAAGTATTTAAGTGTTGGTTTGCAGGGATTTTATTGGTTACAGGATTTCATCATGAGCTGGCATTGGTTAGAGAAGCAATGTAAAACCAGTAGGAAGTACTAGACAGCCAGATGTTTCGTCCTAGTTTGGAAGTCTTCAGCAGTACGCTCCCTCTAGGGTCCAATCCAGTGATCCATGAATTCCAACTTCTGTCAATTCACCATATAGTGCGACCACTCGCCATTGTCACCAGCGAGTATTTGTTCTCACACCCGACCTGCTGTACCTAACTGGTTGTGCCCTCTGACTTGAACCCAGGTGACTCACGATGAAATCCTGTAACTAATCAAATGCCTGCAAACCAACACTTGAATATCAATCTGATGCTACCTAGTGACTGGCTCTATACAAGTAGGTAGTTACCCGGGCCCCAGTGGCTTAGTGATCTACGAACTGCACTTGTAACTGGAAGGTCTTGGGTTCCAACCCTGGTGGTGGGTGCGTACCTCTGAAGAACCCCAAACTAGGACGAAAAAGCTGTCTAGTACTCCCAGGTTTTCCAACGGTTCTCAAACCGATGTCAGCTCATGATGACGTCCTGTAACAGAACAAATATTTGTTACCGAACTTGATCGCTAACCGATTTCATTTAGAGAACCATTGAAAAACAACAGGGAGTACTGGACAGGTATTTTGACTTGGATTTTTTAGCTGTACAACCATAACTTCATCAGAGATCAAATCCAGAATCTTTGGATTACAAGGCGAGCTTGTTCACCACTCAGCCACTGGTATGAATTCCGATGGCCCATCTGTTCTAACGTCTACCAGTTCGCGATATTTGTTGCAACCACCAGCCAATGTAATCAGAGAGTATTGGTTCTTATATCTATTTTATCAGACTTCACTGGTCAGTGTTTCCCACTTGAATCATATGCTCACTTGTGAATGACTGCAGGATGAAACTATCTGAAGTTGGAGGTGAGGACAAATAGTTTCTGATGGCAATGACTGAAGCTCACGCTGTATATAGTGAATCGGTAGAAGCTAGAATTGATGGGCCATTTGATTGCGTAACACTGGCTAAATTAATAATGGACTGGTCTCGTAACTTGTAGGTGCTGGGTTCGATTCCCGATGGGGGCAAGAGTGCGGGCTGCTTAATAGTCCCAAACAAGATGGAAGCGGCTATCCAGTAATCGCTGGTTTTCACGGTTCTTTAACTTAAGTCAGTTCCTGGTGAAACCTGGAATCAATCACATCTCCACAAACCAACACTTCAAAATATTTGTTAAGATAAATACAATATGCATTAGGAAAATCATAAACTTTACATTTATAATACAATTTGCAAATAACAGTGATAATAATAATCACATTATCCTTGCCTATTTCCTCTTTGACTCCTGTGAGTATTATCACCTTGTTCATGCGTTTCCTGTTCATTAACTTTTGCAGCGACACATAAGCTATCACTGCTTCCGTGAAGACATTACTCGACATATTACTTATATCTACTTAAGAGTAGCATGCACCATATTCATATGCGACAATCTGCTAAATTAAATCATCAATGAACTAAAATTCTGATACGGTTATCACATTGTTTTATCACAATTCTATGAAAAGTCGAGTACTATCAGTCTTTCTATTTCTACTTATATAATCAAAAACTAGTACGAAAAGTAACATTTTGAAAGTAAAAAAAAACTGTTTTCATTAACGCAAATTTAAATACACATATAAATCTAAAATTCAAAAAAATTCACGTCGAAAACTTCTAGCCAACATTTAAGCAATTTATTTGTGACTTTTTATGCTTGAAATTAAACAGGTGTTCACTGAAAATGATTTATTCGACAAAGATGAATTGTGAGCTAATTAAAACTAATTTTCCAGTTAGTCTAATCTAAATGTTTGAAATCACGAGGTAACTTCAGTTAGAGAACCACTGAAAACCAGAAAGTACTTAGATGACTGTTTCGTCCCTGCTCGAGACTCTTCATCGGTACAGACCCGTGACCTTACCAGAGACCAAACTTAAGACCCTTAGGTTACAGAATTGATAAGATAAAAAATTGGCGGGCTATTGGATTCCGTCCGTTTGGATGAATGATCAACCAGCTTGCCTCATAAATTGAAGGTCCTGGGTTCAGTTTTCTGTAGGGTCATGGACGAGTGGTAAAAGACTAGAACTAAACAGCTGTTCAGTACTCTCCGGTTTTGAATAGTTCTTTAACTGAAGTCAGTTCGTAATCTAAGTTGAAATCAGTCAAATCCCTGAGAATCCGTACTTGCAAATATTTAATTAAATTATCTTGTATTCAATTTTCAATTTATTTATTTAAAGACTCGTTAAACAAGTTCAGCATAAAGCACCAAACAGCTTTAAGGATACTGAGTATTTGCTTTTAAAGAAATATTTTCCCGAATAATTGAGACCTTATTAATGTATGCCATTGCGTGATGACATCAAGAAGTGGTGAACAACAAATTAATGAACTAATTAATTAGTACACAAGAACTTCATCGAAATAGTTTTGTGTATTCCATTGTAAGAAATTGATTGTATTCAAGGTAGATTTTTTATGAACTGATATAAATTAGAGAACTATTAAAAACGACAGATTTCATCCAAATTTTGGACACAACAGCAGTGAGCTCCAACATCCTCACCAGGGATATGTACAGATATGTATATTCGAGTGAAACACGAATAGAAAACGAGTTCGACGTACGAAGGCGACATATAGGAGGTCGTATGAATAGAAAATGAAAGTCTGAAGTCATTCGTGAAGCCAGCCAAAAATGACTGCAGAGAAAAGATTGAGATGGTGATATGCTGCCGAAGCCCTATGATCCACTCCGAACCAAATGGAATAAGAAGAAGAAGAAGGAAATACATTAACTTCAACAAATATCAACATTATTTTTTTCAAAAATAAGTAATAAATGAATGAGAAATCTATTAATTAAATTCTATTTCACAATTTTATCTTTTTTTACTATTGAACCAGTAAAATAATAAAGCAAGATGAAGAATTGCATCATTTAGTTGAAGAACTTGAACAACAAGTTAATCAAGAGAAAGAACAGTTAAAGCAGAAAGTAAGCCAGTTGACTTATCAGTACATTAACTTTATTTTTTTGGGCCTACCCACACTGCTGATAAATGTGAGTAGGAGTAGTAGCAGTAATGACATATTTCCCATTTTATAACAAATGATATTAAAAGTTGAAAATTGTTATTATCAATTAGGTACTCTGTGTGTCTAAATGTTTACCTATCTCTGTCCCTTATTAACTACCACTCAAAATGAAAATGTATAACTGGAGAAGGAATGGAAACCAGTGTAGGTATCCAGATGCAAGTGTTGATTACACTCATCTCTGTTGACAATTATTCTATAAGCTATGACTTCTTACTGGTGCCATTCAACTAAAAAATATGTTTTTGTAACGGTAGAAGATGAGAGACTTGGTAAAAAAATGTTAATAATCTTATGCTAGATAGCAGCTACAATATTACCATGAAGTTGGAAAAATTGACTCACTAGATCACCACTAATTTCATGCGTTTACTTCTTCGTTTGGTTCGCATATGGATTCTGTCACTCAACTTTGCAATGTGGCTACCATTCCAGCTGGTTCGCCATCCCGAAGTACTCTGAATTATTGTTACATGGTTGAAGGCAATCACCAGAAAGCCATCGATTTAGGTTTAGTGATTTTTGCCGCTCATCATCAGGGAGTAACTGCAGTCTTCAAGGAATTCATGTCCTTTCTGAAATCCGAACCCGGGTTACAAAGTTCTGCAGTCAGATAGATATCATTCTGCACCAAACGAACGACTAGATGCATGACATTAGTAACCACCTACTGTCGAATCAAACTATCCATTACAGTCATATAGAAGGTAAGTTGTGAGCCTAAATAGCTCAGTGGTAACGTGTCTGACTGCAACGCTGAGTGATGTAGGTTCCAGTCTCCGAAGGGAGATAAGTTCCTTGAAGATTGTAATTACGCCTTTCTGACGATTTCTAACAAGAACAAAACTTAGGTTGAAGGATTCCTGACAATCGCCTCCAACCACCTAACAATAAACCAAGTTTGATGATACTTATTCTCTTTTGACAGCAAATGATGGTAGTATTAAATCACAAATCATTAAAAATCTGAAAAACTAGATTTCTAATCAGTGACTGAATAGTTAACTGATGGGAGAATTGCAAACTACTAATAGTTCTAACAACTTTTCAGCATTGAATATTAGGTCATGTTACTAATGCATAAGCCAGATAGCTGTATTTATATAGTATACTATTTGTCCTTTCATAAAGAGAGAGGTAAATAGTAATGGATCTATGCTTACTTAAATGCATCAGAGGCCTCCAGCTATGTGTTTAATTTATATAGACAAAAGAAACAAATTAAGTACTCTATCATGAGTGCAATGAACTCTTTTTGTCCAGCTTATTATCATGACTGTGACTGAAAATTTATGGCATATTACAAAGTCTTTAAAATCTATAAGATTACGCATATTTCGTCTTAATCAAGACTCGCCAGTTGGATGCAAAGCAAATACATCTCAATGAATGATAAGGTTACCTCTGAGACTCAATAAGTAATAATAAACGAATCCCTTTAGAAACGCAGGCACTGGGTTCATGTCTCAGTGAGAAGATCGTCATTTTTTAAGACGCAAGTACATCAAGCTCTGATGAGCTGAAAATAGGATGAAATGCATGTTCACTGATTGCCACCGTTAACTGAATAACATTATTAAAATTTCGTTTCATTTAACAACTTGACCAAAGTAGGCATGAAATACTAATTTTAAAAGCAGTCATCATACATTACTCAGGCTTTTGAAGACTTGAAAAGAGTTTCTCCATCTGATTGGAGAATCGTAGAATTTCTACAAGCCTGGTACCCAGATGAATCAGCGATCAACAGGCATATTACTATAGATCAAATTTACCAACTAATAAAGAATAAATCACATGACAAAAACGTTTAGATTAACAACCAAGCACGACAGAGGTTACCATGAGATACAATTAGATCATTCATAGAGAATTAAAATAAGTCCACTTTATATTAAAGCTTGTGCTGAAGATGTTGTCTAAGAAGATAACGAAAGCTTCGCAACTAAATCAACCAGCTTAGAGAACACAACTAAATCAAAAGATTCTCTATTGGCGCACCACATCTACGAATAATGCTTAAACTTCTGTCCTATAATTTATTCAGCGCTGAGACTAAGACTGCTATAATTAAAACATTCAAATAAATTAATAAGATAGATTTTTACCTCTCACTGTTGAGTTAGACTCACTGTTGATTGACTGAATCAAGGTGTTTGACCTCCGTTAACTTGTCAGCTTCTAGTACAGGCATCGTTGAGGCGTCGGACGTTTCGGTCCAACCAATCAACGGGAAAATCAAAATTAACTTAAAAGCAGATAATAACTCATGTCGGTTGTTGGTCTAGTGGCTAACACTCTAGCGTTTGAAACGATGAGTACTGGGTTCGAGTCCCAGGGAGAAAATGAGCACTCACTAGGGAATGTAGGTACATTCAGATGCCGAGTCCTAAATAGGACAAAAATGAGAATTCTCGATTCTACTGCTAGTCACCATCCACTGAATTACTTCAAAACACAGATTACCCCAGCAGTATAAATAGTTTCTGGTTTCTCTGTTTACGCTTTCTCATTTTCAAGGAAGAGTTAAAAGAAAGAGAATTACGCGAAGAATTAAACAATAAAGTACAAGAGAAGGAGAAACTATTGAATGACCTTGTACAACAGTATGAAAAGGTATGTTAGCATTATTTTTTCTTAAATAAAGAGGTTATTTATGTCAAAAACATTCCGTTCTACGTCTTTCTCGTAAATTCCTTACTGTTCAATGTCTATTGATCACGTTTTACTCAGATAAATAACTTTAAATCACTTGACAGTATTTATTTTGAAGTTGATATTAAATGCGTCTGAGGCACTGCTTTAAATGTGAAATTTTAGCATAAGAGTGAGAGAGATGTTTTATCCTGTAAATTGTTGAATGAAACGTAAAAATTCGACCAAAACAGCATTATGTGGAAATCATATTTCAGAAAACTGGCTTCGTAACTGTTTATGAAGACGAATAGTTAGATGCAGCTGTTTGTCTGCAGCTAGGAAACAATTAATTTATGTTATGGTAGATTTCATCTCAAACCAACATCAGTTCTAAAACCAACTAAAATCTAATAACAACTTCCTGGTTATGAATGGTTTCAGGATAGATGTGAAAAGTGGTGACTAAAGGAGTCCAGCAAATCAGGTGATAGGAAAGATACTCACTAATGCGTCACTTAGAGAACTGATAGAAGCTATGATCATGACCCATTGGAGTTCAGGCCACTGGCTGGATGACAAAATGCTCAACTAGGAACCTCAAAGGTATATATGTTGGATCATTGATGGTGTGGTGAATACTCACTGTCCTAAACAGTAACTAAACTGTCTAGTGCTCTTAAGTTTCTACTAGTGATCCAACTGGTTTCAGGGATGAAATCTAATCTGAAATTAAAGACGTCTTTCTTAAACGTGAGTAAATTTGTCATTTCACTTATCATTCATACAACGTGGCTATCGGTATTAAATTGTAGTTGAATCTTCCTTTAGTATGAAGTGTTGCATTATTTTTCATTTTCATTACTTTGGGTTTCCAGTGGAATACATGGTTTCAGAGGAACATCACCATTTTATTCTGTTCTCTGCAGTCTTTTTCAGCTGGCTGTAAGATTGCCCATAAGCTTTCGTTCCCCTTTCACACGATCTCCTCCTTTTTACACTCAGACCACGCCCAACGAGTTGCTTCCCATTCAGATTCCACTCCAAAGCCTGCTTGGAGAATGATGACACTCAACTATCTTCTCAATATATATCCACTCCATCTCCATTTTCTTCTGCATATTTGTTGAGCAATATGTTTTTGGCTGGTTCGCCAACAGATCTCCTTGTGATCTATTCTTTCCTAACAGCTATCTGACCTTCAAAACTGAGAGAAGGCAGCTGTTAATTAAAGTTCTTATCAGTCTACTAGAAAAGCTTTTTATCACAAGTGTAACAAGTCTCTGAACCATATAGGAGCACTGGATTTCTATCACTGTTGATAATTCGGATCTTGTTGCTTGTGTTGAGTGCTGTAGATCTCCAAAGGATTTTACATTAATGATACATTTCCTATTTTTCCGCCCGTGGCTGCCTTTAACATCCTTATCCGTGTCACATGTAGTTGAAACAATGCTGCGGAGGTAAATGAAGGAGTTGACTTTCTTTAGACTTATCCCGTTGATGGTGATTGGTGCCTGTTGTTATTGGTTGGAAGAACACTCATTAAATTCCTAAAAGTAACCAACGTCATGTATATCTACATCTTGAAGCTAGTCAAATTTTATCAGTCAAGTTTCCAGTGTGGTGGTCACAAATCTGAGCAGTTTACCATTGAAGAACGCTTGTAATCTAGTTTTGGTGATTTGAGGCAAACGGTAGAAAGCTTTGGATCAAAAGTCATTTCCTTTAATCCTTTAATGCTCTATTAGTACGCACTATGTCAAAGGAATATGTTTTTAACCAGGAAGTAGACAATATTAGCCTTATTTGTTTGATTTAATTAATCAATCTGATTTCAGGCTTCTTGCAAAGTAGAAGAACTTCAGAAAACTCGAATGACTATAGCTCAAGAAAAAGAGAAATTATTACAAGAGAAGGAAGACTTACAGCGCAAATTAGAAGAATCACAAGAAATGTTGAATGACTGTAAAGTATATATTGATACGTTACAGAAAAAAGCTCGTGAAGAACGTCGACGTAGAGCAAAAGCGGCAATTGAACTCAGTGAAGGCATAGCCTTGGAGCGTGAAACGTTGGTAAGACAACTGGACATGTTAAGGTAGGCTAACACAACTAATATCCTTTCATTATTATCATTTTTGTCATTAATATTATTATTGAGTTAGACATTAAGACTAAAGGGTCTCCTCAGAACTGTATGTAGTATACCTCACTCAATCCTGAACTCTTGTTTGTTTGTGTAATTTGGATACAACTAATTATCTGTCTTCTTTATTCCTTTCACATTCCGAGTGGAAAAAAAGGCTTTCAGTTTCAATCTTGAAGTTTCAGTAAACCTTGTGTTGTCTTTATAGGGTAGGGTTACTGGCTCCACGCCACGCATTCGTCCTTTACCAAGCATACAACTACCTGAGTGAGTTTCAGGAATGCGTCAGCCGAGATTCGAACTCCAACTACATGAGGCATGGTTGGAGGGTATTCTGTCACTAAACCACCGAAGCACATTAATCGTGTGTAAGTATTTTCAATTGAATCACATTCGTTTTACACATATTCTCATACTGTGCTGCAAAATAAATTAGGTCTTTTTCAAGGGTATTTTATAGCGAATCAGCAGAGGTTAGAATACATGGGACACTAAATTCCGAACCGGTAGCTGAATAGTCAGTCATTAACTCCTCCTCGTAACCCCATGCTGCTGGATTCGAAGTCCTCACAGGATCGCAGGTATTGTTTAATACTTAGCAGTAAGTATCACAATAGAACGAGACAGATGTCCAATACTGCCTGGTTTTAAATACTTCTTTAACTGACGTCAGTTCGTTATGAAATCTATCTCCTGGAATAAGATGTATTTTCATAGTGGAAAACATATCAGTAATTTATAAATTAGGCAGTAAGGATTCATTTTAGGCAGTCGTCTGTTTGGATAACTAATGATCTCCACACTTGCTATAAGCATTACATTTTCTTAGTTGAATTAAAATTCTACTTCGTGATATGATACTCAAGAACATTTTAAAAATCAACTTCCAGTCTATTACTATGGTCTTTTTCAAGGAAACGAGGGTTTAAAACAGTGGAGAATTTGGTAAGGCTTTCAACAAAAGACATTGCGTTATAGAAGAAAAGATCATTCAATAAAATGCTCCAAGAATTCTATATTTTGTATGTAAACTTGTAGGGGACTTAATAGCGAGCTCAGTAACGGTTCAAAATATTAGAAAAAAATTTAAGTTAATGAAAGAATATTGTAACAGTATATTATAAAAAGAAAGCCAACTTGGAACGGACTGCTTACTAACTTCCACAGTTGGGTGCCTCTATATACTAAACGAAATCTAATCCGTCCATTAAGCCACAGAATACGTAGTATTATAAAAAATACAGTTAATGAGCTACAGAAATTAGTGGTTACTTGACGATATGGTTAAAGTCCACTACTACAAATTATTACATATAATCCACTACTACGGGGTGCTAACGACAATTATATATCTCATCCAACAGCTGTACGACAATGCTGCATGCCAAGTAATCCACAACGGGAAACTCACGGAATCCTTCAAAGTGAGGACAGGAGTAAGACAAGGCTGCCTACAATCGCCGATGATTTTCTTGATTGCAGTAGATTGGATAATGTGACAAACAACGGGCAATGAGGAAACAGGCATAAAATGGACTCACAAAAATACTTGGAGGATCTGGACTTCGCCGATTATATATGTCTGATTTCCCACAAACTGGAAGATATGCAAACGAAAAGCAACAAGTTGACAGAAGAAACATCAAAGATAGGAAGGGGTTCAGGTGAACATAGAGAAGACAGAGATGATGAAGATTCCTGGTCAACACCACTAACAGCAACAACAACAACAGACAACAATCAGCATAAATGGGAGGAACCTGAAAGAAACAACCTCCTTTACCTACCTGGGAAGCATCGTTTCAACTACAGGCTGAACTGACGAGGATATCAAAGCAAGAATCGGAAAAGCAAGACAAGCTTTCACTACTCTCAAGTCTGTGTGGAGGTCAACAACACTCAGCATCAAAAATAAGATCCGGATTTTCAACTCCAATGTGAAGTCAGTGCTACTATACGGATCAGAGACTTGCACTGTGCGTCATAAAGAGCATCTCAAACAAACTACAGACCTTCATTAACAGTTGTCTTCGCTCAATACTCAAGATCAGATGGCCAGAAAAGATCAGCAATAGGGATCTCTGGGAGCGAACCAACACAGCAGGAACTGATTGTGAAACAAATAGGCAGGAAGAAATGGAGATGGATTGCTGGCCATACTCTGAGGAAACAAACCATCAAGTGACATCACTAGACAAGCCATTGCTCGAGTGGAACCCGAAAGGGAAGCGGCGAGTTGGTCGTCAGTGCAAGGGTGACTTGGAGGAGGTCATGTGAAGAGGAGATGAAAACGTGTGGGCAGACATGGAGCCAGATGAAAACTCTAGCAGAGAACCGAACGCAATGGAGACGCACGACTGAAGCCCTATGTTCCTCTAGGAATTAAAGGATACAATAATAATAATAATCCACAGAAGTGTTCACTGCTGGGGGGTGTCTACTAGTAGAAGCTGTGCACCAGTTTTAGAATAGTCTTCGGATGAGGATGAGAGGTTCCTGAAAAATCCAAAGGACACAACACGGTTAATAGTGAAACAATTAGATAGTATGGACCAGTGAGAAGACAGAACGACGAGCAGCATGCTATATTTTAGATTGTACCCCAAAGTTATGTATATTTTACAGTGAATCGTTTTAGACAAAATTTATGTATAATGTTTCCACTTGTAACATTTAACAAAAAAAACTGTACAGTCATACTGTTCCAGACTCCACAAACCTATTTTCCAAAATAAAGCTATTATTATTAATATTATTATTATTTACCACTGGAAGGTTGTAAACCAGAAAAGAAACCAAATTAAAATATCTGATAGGGCTCTTATAGTCTTTGTATTCATTAATAACCCAAAGTTTGGCAGCCTGCCTAAATCACTGTGCTACTTAAATCTTCTATCCATCAAAACGCATCAGTTTTACTCCATTTCAAATTGTTTTAATCTTCCAACTACCACAATGAGTTGTAAACTATGCTCCCGCATCATATTTACCTACTGCTGAGAGTTTTTGAAAGAAAAAAATGAGCGAGATCATTTTGGAGTAGCATTGAAGCACTTTTCAGATGGAACAATATTGCTTCAGGTGATATAATATCGATTATTATATTGTTTGAAGATTCTGTACAAGGGGTAAATATCTTACAGTGGAATTCTCTGAAAATTCTGTATTGCGTATAAAGGCATTTTTCAGAATCAAGTTATTTTATTAAAACTCTTATAGAATTCCAACATTTACCAATGGTAAATCTACGTCACTGACATCTTGACAATAAATGATGCGTAATTTTAAGGTATGTTATAATTAACAGATAAGACACGGAAACGGTTGAAATTCCATTTAAACTGAAAGAAGCAATGCACTGATGATCTAGAATCACCAGAAAGTAGAAATTTAACGGACTTATACACCTAAGAATCCAAAAATAATACTAATTTTTTTAATTCCTTCACGTTCTCAGTGGAATATAGGGCTTCAAGCTAGAGGTTTGAAGTTTCTGTAGTAGTGTTTATTTTTACAGGATGGGGTTGCTAGCTTCATGACCAACCTTCCCTCTTTGCCAGTTCTATTACTGGCTTAGCGAGGTAAAGGAGTGCGTCGGCCGGAGGTCAAACCCCGGACCATGTGCATGGTCGGTGAGCATCCTAACCGCTGTGCCACCGACACACAGAATCCAAAAATAATACCAGTAATCAGATGTATCTGGGATAATTATTTATGATGTAAGAACTGATTTTTTTTATTCCTTCACGTTCTTAGTGGAACATAGGGCTTCAAGCTAGAGCTTTGAAGTTTCAGTAGCAGTGGTGTTGTGCCTTTACGGGATGGGGTTGCTCAACGCCCAACATTCCCTCTTTGCCGGGATTAAAACCGGCCAAGGGAATTAAGGGTGTGTTCTAGTCAGGACTCGAACCTCGAACCACGTGCACGGTTGACCAGCATTCTACCGCCCAACCACCAACACACATCGATGAGGAGCAATCTTATTAAATATATTGCCATAAGGATTTTACCAATATAACTTTAAATCGTTTGCTTGAAGAATTCATATTCTAATGTAATCCATTTGTCATACTATATATATGTATATATATATATATATTCCTCTTTGTATATAATTTATAGGACTATTAATCAAAAGTTGGTTGATGAACAAGAATTGAAAGCACAGACTATCTATAGTGTCAAGGAAATTTCATCAAATGACTTAAGAGATTTCAGTAATAAACCACGTTCAGTCGATTTGACTGATACAAAGATTTCAGGGACAGCAATGAAAGATATGTCTACCTTACCGCATTTATTGCGTAGTTCAACAGATTTGGATCCTACACACTTTGAAATGATGTCGAATGCTAGAAGAGGCTCTACAATGAGTAATTACTTTTCACCTGTAATGTAAGTCCCTTCTCCTCTTTTGTCTATGAACATTGCATAACTAAACAATTGTCTGTATAATTATACTCTTTTAATGAAATTTTTGAAGATTTATTGTAAATATAAACTTGCGTTTGAAATTTTGTCATAACAAATGATTTGAAATTCATGTAACGTTGTCGATATTTCTCAGTTAACAGGCCTTACATAATCTTATAAAAATACTAATTACTATTATTTGCCATCTATGCTTCAAAAATGCAAATTACATTAGTTCAAAAAATTAAGTCCACTTAAAGAATTATTCTACTGATACACAGTATATATATATATAGTCAAACGGCTTCATAATGTGAAGAAATAATATATACTTTCGGACTGAGTTTCAGTATAGAACTCTGCACAGAAATGCAGCAGTTCAAGTTAACACACTCCATATGGCACACAATGGTAGGCAAATGAGAGAAAGGAGGGATTCGAAAGCACTTCAATAAGCAGAAATGTTAGGAAAGAAGAATAATAATAATATGGAAAAACATGATAGTTTAATAGATATAGGAGCCCACAGAGAGTGAATGTATCTTCTACTCTGAGAACGATTTTGAATCACATCACCAATAGTCTCAAGTCAGGCAGTCCACGACTCAAAACAACTCTGAATATTCCATAGACTGATTCCAGATTTTGGTTCAACTGTTTTTTCAACCTAATCCTATATCGGCTGAAACTGCTTGTCAAGGAAGAAGACGGTAGCTCGTCCCAGGCTTAAGTAGGTGGAGCGAACGAACGAACCCTAGACCCACTGTCTACAAGTTGAGTACTTGAACTAATAAGTCATATAGAAACGATTAAAACAAATTAAATACACGATCAGTTAATTCACCGAAAGTTCCTAGCCACACAGAAATCAATCGTACACATATCCTACTCTGGAATTCACTTATCTATCCTAGTGACAGTTTCCAAGGCTTAATCTCATTCATTTAAATTAAGGTCAGAGTTTACACAAGTTTAATCTATACATGCATTTATCTTATTCTACAAAAGAAAATTTGGAAATTTTAACTGATTAATACAGCTTTAAAAAAATAAGTTTGCCTGTTCGGTATGAACTTCTACTGAAGACAACATTCTTTTTTAATAAAAAAACGGACACTACCTACATCCATTTATCAATTCTTAAATAGTGGTGTCTGTTAATTATATAGAGTGAATTATCTTCTTGAGAATAGATAAGAAGAGTAGCAGGCGAAACGACTAACTTTTGTTTTAATCAATTCTGAGATAAGCAGACGTTTTGTTATCAAACTGGACATCAACACCAAATGAAAAAATTAGGCGAGTGGTTAATGCTAATCACCTTCATCATGAAATATAGTAGTAACTCCAGTGACATGGGAATTATAATGTTCATACTGGGAGATATAGAAAGAGACAAGAGCAATTAACACAAAGTTTCCTAGTGAACAAAATTCAGGGAATATAGTTTATTCCAAGTTTGATCACGGATTTATATCGTCTATAGAACCACTGAAAACCAGAGAGTACAAGACAGCTGTTTTGTTCTAGCTTAGGACCCTTTAGTCACACGCACCCATGACCTCACCAGGGACCGAACCCAGGACATTCGGGTTGCGAAATGACAGAAGTTAGAATTCATGGGCCACTGGATTCCAGCCCAAGTGGATGAATGATCAGTGAGATTATTCTCGTAACCTGAAGGTCCTGCGTTCCATTTCCGGTGAAGTCATGGATGCGTCCTGTTGAAGAAACCCCAACTAGAGTGAAACAGCTGTCCAGTACTCCCTGGTTTTCATTGGTTATCTCACTGAAGCCAATCCGTGATCAAACTTGAAACAAATCAAAATCCCTATAAATTAACTCTTGAAAATGTAGTTTTTATCAGTTGGTTCCGTAGTATTTATAATTCACTTTATTTTATTTCATCTCTTATTTCACTTCAGAACTCATGATGATAATACACGTGATGGAGACCTTGGACATATCGATGAAACAGAAGAATACGAAGAGGTTTTCAAACAATGTAGTTTTTGCTTTAATTTTAAAAATTAATTGTAAGTTTTTTATTCTAGATCCTAATAATATGTTGGGTTCACATTCTCGAAGATCATCACAGAAAACAACAAGACCATTTATCAATGAATCAAGTGGAGTACATTTGACATCACAGTGAGTTAGTTCAGAAGGCTACCATGGTAATTTTTATCGTGTATATAATAATAATAATAAATGCAATGGTTTACTCCATCAGAAAGTTAAGTATTAAACTGCAAAATGTCTGTCTGAACAAATAATGTTTCTTTTCAATAAATTCTCCTCTTCAGGCTTTTACAATTATAAAATATAATATTTATTATTACAATAATAGCTAGTTATGAGGTGGACACACTTCTGTGTACAATAACAGACTAGTTATACGCCGACTGAAAAAAACAGTATTTGTGTGACAAACGAACTGGGCTGATTAAAATTACAAAATTCATTATTATAAAAGTTTTTGTATTTCTCAATGAATGAAAAACAAAACGATATTGTTGTTTTTACTGACATTTCGCTATTTAATGCTGCTAATAGCTTTATCAGAGCAGTAGTATTAAACCAGAATTTACAAAACCTCAGTCCATATATAGCGACTAAATCATCGTTCTTCAGCATGAGGTGATTGTTTTTACGTTGTCAAGTTGGTCAGTCGGTAAAGATAACAAAACCGTGTGTAAATTGTTAGATTTGATAAACGTATGAAATTATAAAAACAACACGTGTTTACATAATGAAATTGCTCATTATATTTGTGTTGATTTTGTCACTTCATGGAGGAGGGGTTAATGAAACCAGGTCTAATTCTGTCCTAGTCTATCATTCTACTTAATATGAAGTGCTTCTGATATTAGACGTTCCTTGTGATTTCTGAAATTGTTCTGGCTGATTTCAATAGTTGTCAAAATCAGTTTTGTGGCCTGATTCTATAATGTGTAGACCTTTGGCTGATGATTTTTCAAGCTTTTCAACTGAATTTCTTGGTGATCGAATAGATGCTCCATGGTGTTCATTTCTTTTGATTTTGATTACTCTCGAGGTTTGTTCAATATATATATCACACTACATCCCAAGCTTTTTTTGTAGGCACAATTAGATTGTAAATGCTCTGGATTTGGGTCTTTTATAAAGACAAGGTTGCTTTGTAGTGTGTCTGATGTTTTGAAGAAAACTCTGATACAAAATAGTATGCACTTAAAAGGTCACAGCAAGACTGCAGTGACATCCTTAAACCGACTAGATTGTGTAAATCTCATGTGTGATTTGTTTCAAATTTGAACACGAATTGCTGTCAGCTAGAAAACCATTTGAAACCAAGGAGTACTGGACAACCGTTTCATCCTAACTTGGGACTCTTCAAACTGACTCTTGAAAATTATTCTGGTGCTCACTAGTGACTGGCTACATGACAAAGTTGCCTGGAGTTCTGGTGAGAAGTCCTGGCTAGTAGGGTACACCAGGTCGGGCTTGAGGACATATACATTCGGATGAAATTGGCTAGTGATCGCACTTAAGTCACGAACCCACAGAAGTTGGAACCTATGGGCCATTGAACGCCATATGAGCTTGCCTTATAAGTGGAAGGTTCTGGTTACGATTATCTGTGAATGGGTGCTGCTGAAATTTTCAAACTAGAATGAAACGGCTGTCCAATACTCCCTGGTTTTCAACAGGTGTCTAGCTGACATCAATCTGTAATCATATTTGAAGTCAATCAAATCCTTGAAAACACATTAGATTTAAACAATGCGAGAAAAGAAAGTTAGTAAGTCAGTTTAAGGATTAAAAGGTGATGAACTACTCACTACAGTCTTACTATGACCTATTTATTGCATACTATTTTTTACTAGCCACTCACCTGACACGTTTTAGAACCTCGAACTGACTTGTCCATTTTCCTTCCCCACATTGTATGAATCTATTATGACTAATCACAATCATCACTGTCTCGCACTTCACAATATTTCGTAATTATATTCAGCCCAGTACGTTTGTCACAAAAATACTATTTATTTCATAATCCTATAACTAGTCTGTTATAGTACATGAGAATTTGTCCACTGCATAACTGGCCAATACTGTAACGATAACAAATATTATATTTTATAATTATAAGAACATGAAGAGGAGGATTTATTGAGAAGAATATTCTCTATATTCAGATCAACAAGTAACATGTTAAATAATTTTGACACAATTTTGACACCCTTCAAAGCATTTGCACAGAGTTATTAAAATATAAGCAAGTTTATCTTTCTGTAAAATAAAATCTAATTCATGTAAGTTATACGTTTCAAACAGTCCAATTCCACATCTATTACTTAGATATGTGTTTTTGCTTGTAATGCAATGGAAAAAATTTCAAAATATTAGATTTTCAAACCTGTTGGTAGTAAAATACTGTTTTTTCATTATAAATTATTTAAATTAATCCCAGCGTGTTAAGAAAATCAAAACAAGATTTTTCTGAACGTTTCGCTGTGTAAGCCACAGTTTCTTCAGCAGATTTATCCAGGAAGCTCGTAACACCTACGGCCTGGAAACCTAAAGTACTGTTTTTGTCTATAGTGAATCATTAAAATAGATACTAAAATTAATTTAAATGTCTTGTACAAAGCTGTTTTAAAGTGTTGTATTGAAATGTGCCAAGAAAAGTGGCTATTTCGCCTGCAGCCTCGAAGGAACTCATGTCCCTTCTGAGACTCGAACCCACGTCACCCTGTGAGAGCTACAGTCAAAGACGTTACCACCGAGCTATTCGGGCTAGCGATTGACCTACTGTAGTCAGTAACTACTGTGATGTTTGTGTGTGTCTAGTCTTGTCTTTGGTGCAAATTGAATTCTATCGTGCTCACTAGCACGAAACCTAGGTCCAAGGCTTCCTGCCGATTGCCTCCAACCATCTAATACCAATAATTCACAGTGCACCATGATGGCATGCCACGTGGTCTGGTGGCCTCAATGCAAACTTGCCTGATAGAATTCAGTCTGCATCAAAGATAGGACTAGGCACACACATATAACACTAGTTACTGACGAGTGTGCAATCACAAATACATTATACTTTGTTTTCAGATGAACTTAGCCCCTGTTCAGATAATCAGTAATGAAAATAAGAGATTTTTAAAGATCTCAATGAACTGAAAACAAAAGGAAAGAGGTTAAGATGTGTCTTCAGAAGTTACAGAAGATATTTCTTTAGCATAAAATTAAAACTTGAGATCTCATCACGACTCCCCTCCTTCGGTTGAGATCAACTTTGCTGAATATTCTGATCCTTTGACTACTTATTTGCTAGTTACTTCCTGATCTGACTCTTCCAAATCGAATAGTTTATTGTCTGACATCAGACAGTGGTCTAAGTTAAATGGTCTTACCTTAAATCCCTCTGAACGCCTTCAAGCATAAACGTGATCTACATGAACTTGTTCATTCACAAGATGCTTGTAGCACAGAGGGCACTGAAATAGAAATTAATTCATGAATTAAATACCTTGGAATAGTTCTATCATTTGACGTTTCTTGGTCATCCCATATCTTTTTGATTTCTAAGAGAATGTTTCGTCTAACCTACATTAAGAGGTTAAGACAATCAGGAATCACTCAACCTCTACCTTTACAGTTTTTTAACTCTTGCATCTCACCTTTTGTTCTTTAGTGCTCCAACCTAGTATTTCTTTCGCTTCTCAAAAAGGACTACGTCATGATGCGAAGGGTATTGAAGGTTATCGGTAGGGTATATGGTGTGCCACTAAGTCAGCTTGTTACAACTACAGCCAACAGGCATCTGAACTCATGCAAGAAATGGACTAAATCCATATTGTCTAACTCTCACCACCCTCTTTGTTCACAACGCTCCTCTTGTACGCTCGCACAACGGAATGCAAAAACTCAACGATACTCTATTCGGCTGTCATTCTATGTGATAGGAATAGTGTTAATCGGGAAACTAACAACTCATTATGTAATTAAGAAAATAATCAGCTCTTCTCCTATTTGTAATTTATGATGACACTATTTCTATTATTTTATACTTTCTTACATTTTTGGCTTTATTGTTACTATTAATGCCAAAAACGTTGCTATTATCAGTTTTGTTTACACATACTCCGTAATGCATTTTTTTGTTGTTATTGAGAAAATTAGATGCGATACTGTACGAAATGCTGAGAATTCTAGGCTGTATCATAAGTAGTGTTTTAGAATATTATTATTCAAGCGAATATATGGGGAGACAGAGTTGATGAAAACATCCAACTAACAACAACAAGAAGCAGAAATCACTATCATCACGAGAGATTCTCATGAGGTCAGCATTTTCCCTCATCCAGGGAGCATTGTTTCAGTCACAGGCCGGTGGCACAGATAAACATGTCAAAGCCAGGATCTGAAAGGCATCATTAATCTAAAATCAGCTTGGAAATCTACCACACTAAGCATAAAGAACAATATTTCGAATTTCAACACTAATGTCAAGTTAATCAGTGATTCTAAGTGTTCCAAATATTTTCAAGTACTGGTTTTGTATGGATTTTGTTTGATTGGTTGGAGGATTTCATCATGAGCTGACATCAGTAAGAGAACCATTAAAAAACCTGCAGGAAGTACTGGACAGCCAGCTGTTTCATCCTAGTTTGGGACCCTTCAGTAGTACGCACCCACCACAGGAGTTCGAACCAAGAATCTCCTGGTTACAACGCGAGCTAGCTCGTAGACCATTAAGCCACTGAGACCCGATCCAATGGCCAGACCATGAATTTCAACTTCTACTAATTCATGTTATAGCGCTACCACTTCGTAATGTCTTCTTCGATGAGTCACTGCCTCACCTTAAACTTGCTGTAACCTACTGGTCACGGCTTTCCACTAGAACTCCAGGTAACTGCCTATCTGAATAGGGCCAGTTGCTGGTGAACATCAGATCTATTTTGAGGTATTGGTTTTGTAGGGATTTGGCATGCGCATCACTAAAAGCATTTCAAATAGACTTCAAAATTTTATCAACAGCTGTCTTCGCTCTATACTGAATGTCAGATGCCTGGTCGGAAAGGATTAGCAACAAGGAACTCTGACGAGCGACAAACCAACCGACAACCTATAGTCCATCAAATATTCCGAAGGAAATGAAGACG